TTATATTTTATCTTTGGTCTGAATTGAGAATTTCATTTTTAGTGATAGAGATACCAAAATCCATCTTCTAAGGAAAGTATGTTAGTGGGTCATAGCCAGCTCTTGTAACTGGCGTCCCTGTATGCCATACACTTGTTCAGTCTTTTAGGATCAGATGACCTATCAAAGAAGGAAATTAGGCCAAGATAGAAGAGAATCACTGTGCCAGATGCTAACCCGACATTTGACAAAATACACATAGAATTTTTAGTTTGCCAAACCAAACATTTCTTCATAAAACACTTTTTTTTTTTTTTTTTTTTTTTTTTTTTTTCAACTTTTGCATTGAGGTATATCCCCAGCTTTTTTTTTTTTTTTTTTGAGACATGATTTCACTGTGTTGCCCAGGCTGTCCTCAACCTCACAGTATCTTCCTGCCTCAGTCTCCCAAGTGCTGGGATTACAGGCATGCACCACCATGCCCAACCACATGATGTAGGAAATTTTGGAGGACATTTTTGTCTTTAGGATGACAAAATAAAATACAGCTGACTTGAAGAATTCTTGGTTGTACTGTCTCCCATGAATTAAATACAGAGGACTTGCTTTTATCCTTATACCATTATTTCTTAAAATGGACATATTTTGAAAATATTCTGTGGGTAATTCATTGGATTTTCACATTTTATTAAAGATAAAATGTAAGCAAAAAATAAGTTGTGAGCAGTAGCTCTCCATATTCTATGTAGACTTAGTGTTTCCCCATAATATGTCAATTGTCTGTTAATTGTTAAAAACAAACCTCATAATCACATTTCCAAATACATTGTACATAGTAATGTTTGTTGTGTTGTTTTGAAATTCATTTGACATTTGCTTTCCAAAGACTGTTTGAACAAATTTTGGTACCAGTACATGTACCTTTTAATTGTCTGTTTCAATGAAGCATTTTTAGCATAGCAGGTAGGGAGCTGTGCTAATAAGTTTAATATTGGTATCCCAGCATACTGTTTTTCTGATAGTTCTCTCTTATGTCCTTAATTAAAACAGAGCAACACGGGTAAATTATTTTGAGAATCATTACTAAGGGACATGAGGTTTGAGAGAAAATACAATCTCCTAAATATATCTGAACCAGAATTTCTACTATGAGTATGTTCAGTCCCATATTAACTTTTATAAAACATTATACCTATTTTGCCATAACATCTTCTGCTAAGAGAAAGACAGTTGAGAACCATGTTTTGTCATCATATATAATGTAAATTATCTTAAAAGCAAAGTCTTGGGTTTCTCTAGCCCTTCTGTCATAATCTCAGCTCCTGTGACTGTTAACACATGTGTGCCCAGGGGAGTTCCTGTGACTCTTAACACATGCATGCCCAGGGGGATTGTCACTTGTTTAAACAGTCCTTAAATCCTATTCTAACAGAAGCTTGAAAAAGAACAACTCTGTACCCTGCATTCCTGAGCGTCCCAACCCCCTCCTCCGGGGGAGGACTTCAGTATGATTCAGGGAGCCTAGACCTAAACCTTAGCAACACTCCAGTGCTTACCTTTGACCAAAAACTCCCAGCAGCCTTCACTTCGGATATAGGACCAAGAGCCTAGCATCACAGCCACAGGACACACCCCCCAACCCCAACTGCTGAATATGAATGAGCAGGCCGTATCAGAGCTAAGATTCTCTCAAGGACACAGTGACGTAGATGGCTATGGCAGAAGTTGAAATGGGCTGAGAAACACCATATTACATGCAGAATATCTTTACATGAGCAGCTAGCAGTGTGATTCTTTCGTCCTTTAACAGGCTCTACTTATCCTACCTGGAAGGATAGTAAGAAAGGACTAGAAGAAAAGAAGTATTGTCCTCCTCCCATGGTCATTTTGTTTTGTTCTCCTACTTAAAGACTGGGCCTTACATTTTACTAACCTACCACATATAGTATAGATGTAATAGAACTTGAGGTTAACTCTGCAGCCCGCAGGATGAGTGTACAGCCAATTGGTTCATTCATGAATTTGCATTTCAGATCCTCTGCTATTACAGGAGTTACACTTTTAAGTTTGATTTTAAGAGACTGAAAGGAAGAACAACTTTGGCTGAAGTCTGATCGAAATTAACCTGATTACCAAAAGTTGCTGTGGATGAAAGATTTTTAGATTTAAAATGATTCCCTTGGTTTTTTGTTGTTCTGTTTCATTTTCCCTGTAATCATTATGAATGAAGCAAATCAAGTGATCTGACTGGCCATTAACATTATGGACATAACCTTGAGTCCAATCATCCAATTTCTTACTGAGCTCCTTTTAAATAACTATGTACATATGTTTTAAAGTATTTTATAGCGCCATGTAAATTAACAGTTGAAAACTTTACATTTTATTGGACCTTTATCTTGGGCGGGAATTTACTGACTCATAATTCACGTGCAGGTGATTCATATTCCTGAGTGGGCACTTGCCAGTCAGATCACAGATTTCTCCGTGACAGCCTTGCTGGCTGTGAGGCAGTCTGAGGCAGTGGTAGTCTTTGGGTTTGGTGTTTTCTTTGAAATTTTGGGGGGACAGACTGGTGCTTTGGTTTTAATAAAAATTAAATTTGATGAATTTTTACTGTGACTATTTTACAACAGATTTTTAATGAAAAAAATTAATGTCCTTTCAGTAGAATTTTATCTGTAGAGTCTTCCCTCATTTCGGCCTTTGTGTGTTCCTCTGGTGGTAGCATTTATATATGCAGAGTCGAACTACTAGTCCGTAAGTAGGAAGTGGGAAAACACTTGCTACTCTAACACGTGTATTTCATCAGCTTTAAGTTTGTTGGGTTTTTTTTTTTTTTTGGTTTTGGTTTTTTTTTAAGCAAACGGGAAGGAAAATGTAATAAATAACATCAGCTGATGTTTTATTCCGAAAGGTAAGAAGACCGACTGTACCATGGGGAATTCTGTTTGAAACCCCCTGTGGAAAGGAGGAATGTAGGAAGTTGAATGTTACCAGTCACTGAAGGTTTATCAATGTTAATCATACCTTTAAAGTTTGGAAAATTTTAATAGTGAGAAATTATAACTAGTTTTTAAAAATCACTGTTGGATATTTAGATCTTTTTTTGACGATGGAGATACCCTCTGTTCTAAAATTAGTTTTAAAATAATCAAGTCCTAAAAAACATGTATGGGGTCATTGCAACTAAAATATTTACCAAAATTCTGTCTTAGCCCATTTTCAAGTGACATACTATCCTCTGCTGTGTACTGGGAAACTGTGCTTTGTGAATTCTTTGCCCCTGAAATAATGTCCTAACCCAGAGAATGAGCCAGAAAATCAAGAAATCTGTCCTTGCCAGTGCCCAACTGTCATTGCTTCAGAGTGAGGGCAGACTATGCAGACGAGCCAGAGTCGAGCACTCCTTACTCTTGAGGCAAGCTTGTATTGGCCAGACAAGTGGCATTTCCCCGAGAAAATCAGGCTGTGCCAGGCACCAGACTTGGACACTGTTGCTGGTACCTGATCTGCTTAGAGATTCATTGAGAAAATATTGGAAGAGGCTTGTCACTCATACTACAGCAAATATTTTTGCCATTCCCGACAATTCTTTCGAAAACCTTCAAAAGATTCTTCTCTGTATACATACAGAACACATCCAGACAGATTCAACCTCTGATTACATGAAGCAAAATGTGATTAAAGAGAAACCAGAATCAACAGCCAGGATGTCTATAAAACCAATCCAGAGAAGCTCAGGTTAGTGATTTAAGTTTGTTGACTTGCCTTTTTACTAATGACTAATACTGGTAAGTATACTAAGCAACCCACAGGAGTTAAGAATTTGTTGCGTTTGGCTTCCAGTTAAAATTCTGTTTGTAGCTTCCTCTGTAGTAATGTGGTATCATCTCAGAAGCCTGGCTACTGGCCAGTGCAGGCAGCACTGTGCATTCCTTGGGCTTGGACATTCACAGATACTGAGTTCTGAAGTCCTTGGGAAGTTGCTTTAACATGAGCTTCGTCACTGCTTGACTGGGCTTTGATCAGTGCTAGCATTTGGCTTTAATTATACATAGCTGCTAACTTCCGTTTGGGGATTTACCGAAGGTCTGTGGTGGGTTAATGGGCTAACTATAAGTGTAGCCCTACATCTTTCCATCAAACACATATTGGCCTAAAATATTCTAAGTAGACCTAAATTAGATGGCTTTCCTCTTGAACACATTCAGTCTGCTTTTGTGCCTGAAAGCTAAGAATATATCAGGCTTGTGATAGAGCCCGTATAAAGCTCACAAAGCGTGAAACATAATTGGCCCTCTGCAGCCATGAGCACTTCCATGGATTCCACTAATTGCAGATCAAAAGTATTTGGGAAAAATGTGTCAAATCCTACATAAAACTCAAATTATTAGAGATAAATGTCTATATGGCAGGAAATGCCTCAGTTATATACAACTTGCTGTTGTGTGAGGAACTTGAGTATTAAGGATTTGGTTCTAAGCAGAGCTATAAATGAGCCTCTTGTACACATGGTTCAGTAACAAAACATTCATTGGTTGTGAGCCAGCCTTGAGTTCCCCAACTTCGATAGAGCTGTACGTGGGAAGGCACCGAGGTAAAACGTCTTTCTGCAGCACACCTGTCCAGATGGGGCTCAGCACGAAAGCGGTTGTAATGCAGGAAGGCTTGCTGCGTTCTTTAATTTTTATCACATATGGTAATCAAAGTTCCCTCCCAATAAGGATATTTAAGTAAAAATAGGTAGTTGATGGGAGTTTATTCATAGCTTCTTGATAGATGTACTAATATAAGCATTTATGAACAGTTCTCCATAAAACGTGTTAATTTTAGACTCTACTAGTGAGTTTGAAAGAATTATTGACAGCAGCCTTGTTCTTAGTTACAAGCCACCTTCCTTCAACAGTATCCATTTACTACCTTTTGAGTCCTAAAGCATATCTTATAGTAAAAGTTTATGTTGATCTCCCCCTCAGGTGATGGTATTTAACTACCAAGTAGCATAGAGAAATAAAAGCAAGTTTTTAAAACATTGCCACAGCTCCATGAAAATAATCTCCCCTGGTAGATCCAGCTTTGTAGGTCTTCATTTAATTTGCTGTGGGGGAGAAAAAGGTAATAGATCAATTAGAAGGCCTTTAAAAGAATTCATAACCACCTAACACTAGCAATTTGTTAACAATAGAAGGTCCTTTAATAAAATTTGAGAAGATTCAGCACTTCAGTGTGCCAAGAAATGCAATTGTTTTATAATTTAATATTATAGTTGATTTTAAAAAATATAGTTGATTGCAGAGATTTAGAAAAATTCCCACTAAAAATGCACACACGTTATTTCATGACTCACTGAATTACACATTAAATCTCTTAGAGTAGTTAAGTAGAACTGACATTGTTTAAATTGGTCACTAGGTTGATTTGTCCAGGAAAATTACTGGAGTACACTCTACTGCTAAAGTTAAAACTTTGACACGTTCTTAGAAACATTTCCAAAAACTTTGCAGTCAGTCCCTGACTTGGACTTTCACAGGTATACCGTATAAGACTCAAACTGCGTTCGTAAGTCAGGGACTTCCTCTATAGGGTAAAGGCTCACAATGCTGAGGTGCTTGTGTTAGGTGTGCTTGTACTTAGCTATTGGACCTACATGTTAAGGTTCTCAGAAAATGAGAGGAAAAGAGCTGTAAACAAATACGCAAAAGTACCATATCTTTAAAGCCAAGATCTAGTCAAATGGGACCAGCCCTTTAGAGGTAGGTATGACTTCAGTTAGAAATATAAATTTCAAGGGCAGGGGAGATAGCTCAGTGGCACAAGCACCTTCCTGGCAAGTGCAAAGTTCGATCACTGGTACAAAAAAAAAAATCCAAAATCTAAGCTACATGGACAGATGACTCCCATTTCTTATATGAACTGTTATTTATAATACTGTGTAAAGCATTGAGAAAAATTGGAAGGGAATAGAAAACTAGGAGATGAAGCACCTTTACATACTAGTGTGCCCTTCACAGGTATTTATGTGAAGGATGCAATATGCTTCCTTCTGATGTTCAGTGAAAGGATTATGAGTTGGCTCATTGTCTGACTTAAAACATTCAGTGATAGGTCACCTTCAAAGAAAAAAATTAAGACAAAGCCCTAAGTTCATAATTATATAACAGATCACCTAAATTGTGATATAACAAGAGAAAAGAAAAGACCTGGATAAGCCACCTGGTTCGCTGCTGTTTATGCCTATGCAATGGTGCCTTCCTGTGTCTACCGCTTACTAGCAGGATGGGAGATTAGCTGAGGCTACTGGCTGAGTCGGGGCTGTTACAAGGCCAGTAGCCTCAGCTAATCTCCCCTGGACGCTTGCCAATGTGTTCAAGCCAAAAGCTTTAAGGCAGGAAAACACCAGTGCCGAGCTGGCTGTTCTTCACCAAATCCATTTATAAGGACAAAAAACCAGGAAGGCCCCCTTACAATTTTGCCATAGTATAGACTTCTTTTTTATGTGAGCAGTCTAACTACTGTAATGGGCAGCAACAGGAACCATGCTGAAGCCTTTGACTGTACTCTTAGCAAAAGTACAGGGGGAGTGGAGGATAAGCCAGGCTGTGAGGGCCATGTGACCCTAAGAGCAGTGCAGGAAAGTGGGAACAACAGCGTGCGGGGGCCTCAGCACCTGTTATCACATTGGTCATCAGCCAGACTCCACCTTGCCCAGGAGAAGGTGTGGCGCTAATTACTGCTTTGGGCTCAGTGCTACTCATAGTTAGTATATGCAAGAAAGACCAGAGTTGCAATGTTTCTTTTAAAACCCACAATTGTGCTACTTCTGCTTAAAAGAAGGATACCCACATGCCAAATTGGTATCATGTTCCTTATATTCCTTACCTGTAGGGCCCGTCCTTTGGTCTCGATGGGAAGAGTAAATGCAGAAATGGCGCACACAGCACAAACAGCTGCAAAAAGACACAGGGCTCCCACAAGCGACGCGTTCATAAGAACCTGCAGGTCGGAGGAAAATGGCTCCATTGTGTCCCAAACCTCTCCTGGTCCCTTATATCACAGTAAGGAGTTACTTTGCAAATGCCATTCTGTAAGGTAGGAATTCCTGGCATGGATTTGCTGGGGCCAGCTGATATAGGGCTTTGTGTGACTGGCATTAATATGCACTGGCCAGTTTACACTTTCCTTTACATACCTGCTAGACCTCTCAGAGAAAATTTCAATATCCAAACAACTGGGAATGGCATTTTTCGACTCCTTATACCAGTGCATCAGTTTTAGCATCTCACCACACCTGGTGACACGTCTGCCAGTTCATTGTCTGCATTGAGTTCTGATGCAATGGAAAGAGGTATTTGGCAGAGGTGTCATTTTTGAGTCTGAAAAGATTATTATAATGTAGCTTGTCTTTCAATGTGACACTTGGAACTTACTAGTTAGTGTCTATTTTTCCACTGTAATACACTTTTCCTATCTACATCTTTTGTCTCAGATATTTTCACTATATAATAGTTAATTCAGACACTGTACATGATACATCACTTTCTCTATGACTGTGTCCAAACTTGCAAATAGTCAAGCACTTGATAGTTTTCAACCAATCTTTTTGAGACAGGGTCTCACTATGTAGTCCAGACTGGATTTGAACTCATGGTGATCCTCAACCTCCTGGGTACTGGGATTGCAATCATGCACCACCAAGCCTAGCTTTTGTTAGCTAATGTTATCAAGGACATTTCACTCTGAAGTAACAGCAAGGCACTCTAAAATCAGAAGACTGCAGTTTGGAGAGAACTAGAAACTATCCCGTCCAACCTCACTTTGCAGAGGAGCCTACATTAAGTGATTTGTCTTAGTATTTATTACCCAGATTCACATACAGGTATCTGACAACCAGCTTAGTATTACTACCATTTACATTCCCTGAAGATACCCAGTTTAAGAGCTTACTGCATTCTAAAATGGTAAATGTACTTATGAAACAAACTAATATTAGCTTCACTGATTATTTGTTATTGACCTAGAAAGTGATAGACCCTATTCTGGTTCATTTCCCAAAATATAAACTTTCCTAACCAAGACTTTGTATTGTATGTTGAGAAAGAGAAGCTTAGGAAACTAGGCTTAGAAGAGGGATAGAGAGTAACTGGTTGAACTAAGACCAAACCATGCCAAAATAGGGCATGGATCTAGATGGCCATCGCTGCCCCCTCTGTTACTGGATCCGAATTCCCAACCACCACCTGAATGAACCCTCAACTATCTCTTCCCTCGTGACGTAAGGCCCTGATGGCTGAGTTTAGGTCCCACAGTTCTAGCAACCATGGCCAGAGATTGCAAGTGCCTAATTTTGGCTTTCCTAGGATATAGGGCTCTGCTTCATAGCGACTCTGGTAGTCCTGTATATCATTGCTGAATACTGTGCTAATAAATCATTCCTAAGCTAACCAAAGTCAGTTGCTCTTGTTTCCAAGTATGCTTTTTGTTGTTTTAAAGAGAATTCAAAATTTCAAAAACAAAATAATAGAGTAACAATAATACATTGTATATGGTTATCTTTAGTTACTCAGAACAAGAGATGGGTAATTGTCCAAATAATATTAGCACAAGCCTTTTCAGTGAATGGAGTGGTATAACTACCTTAAATACGAGATGTGGGTGTGTTTCTTTTTATAAATTTTCCCTTTTCTTTCCCCCATCACAGTGTCTCTTACCTTTTGAACAGTTTCTTCCCATTTCACTGTCTATTGGCAAGTACAAGTTCTGAGTAGTAGCTAATGGTAAAATCAGAACACAACCCAATTTACATAGGTAACATCTGGAATTTACTCTGGCACCAACATTACAGTGCCGAGACCTATAAATTCATGTTAAATGGTTAGGGTAATAACCCTCCCTCCACCCTCCCAGTTTCCCCACTCCATTGTTTCTCTTACATGTTGATTTTTTTCAAATCAATCTTAGTATCATTTGCTTCCTCAAATTCCAGAAACCCTATTCGGGTTCTGACTTCCATTAGAATTAGATTATTTTAGTGAGAATTCCATTTTTACAGGACTGCACCTTATCTAGAGATGCAGTCCTGTAAAAACTTCATCTACATATTCTTACGTAGAATCACATAAGCAATTCTACAAAAGGTGGATAATGAAAGAGGCTCAACTTCACTAATAATGAACACTGCAAGAGCTGACGGCCAGATGTAATTTACTGCCTACCAGGTTGATAAAGGTTTAAGTGCCTATTCTCCCTTCGATGGTAACGAAGAGAAACACACACAACTTGTTCGGGATACATTCGGGCATGTTAAGGTTGAGGCCATCACCAAGTCAGGGAATGCAAAAGCAAACCACAAGAGGCCCTCTCACCAGTTAGGAGAGCTACTTTTCAGCTGCAGAGAGAGGGGTCTGGGTGTAGCTCAACTGCTGTGCTTTCCTGGCACACAGGCCCTGTTTTCACTGCGCAGCACGGGGGTGCAGGGGGTTTCCAGTAAAGACAGGAAAAAGGGAACCTCTATAAGGTGGCTGGGAATACAGGCTGGGGCACCATTATGCTAAAAAGTACGGAGCTTTTTAAACCTATTAGAAACTAGAACAGTCCTAGGATGCATGAACCCTTGAACCCTGCTGGGTGTATACCCAGAGGAAATGTTATCACCTCATAATTAAGGAGTGCAAATATAAAAATAGTTTGACAAAAGTTTGTGTGACACTGGGGATAGAACCCAGGGTTTCCCGGGGTGCTGGGACTACAGGTGTTCCCCTCCACACCCCCAACTAAAAGTTGGCTTAAAATATATACACACCTTTTGGCCTAGAAAAAACCCAACAGTCCTCTACAAAATTGGACATTTTCCTCAGACATCTCTGGAGTCGCTCCCTTACTGCATCCCATGCTCTTCCTAGTGTTCCTTTCCTAGCCACGTCTCAGTACAGGGTCTCCTTCCCCTAGCAATAATAAGTATTGTTTGAAGTTATTTCCTAATGGTGACAAGTAATGTAGAAACGATTGCAGTGTCAAAAACATTGCTCAGTGACCATATTGAAAGTTTTACAGAGTGGCACATGTCCCTAGCTAGGTATGTGGTACACACCTCCGGCATCCCATTGTTTGTACACAGTGGTGAAAAGTGCGTAACAGTGAACAGTTCCATCACCGAGGCAATGCCTGTTGAGTCTCGACACGATGGACGCCTACGCTCCTAAAGAATGAGGTTGACCACATGTCGACAGTGTGTTAAGGAGAAAGGCATTTGCAGTGGCGACATGTAGCTATAAAGAGCTAGAGTGTGTGTGTGTGAGTGTGTATGGCTATATGGTTCATCACAGGGGTGGAGAGAGGATAAGATGGAGTCTGACTCCATCTGATATTTGCTTCACAGCGAGGTCCTAGTGCTTGCCAGATTTTGCCTAATCTTTCAGACCTGCTTGAGAGGACTTTTCTGCCCGCTAGAGACCTCAGTTATTTAAGAAGCCATTTTTGCACTCTGATGAAGACACCATGTCACCTGTCAAATCAGGTATGAGGGTGGTATCCATCTGCCTCTATGCTGACCATAATATATGGGTAAGCACATATTTATGAAATATAGCTATTCTATGTGCATACGGCACAGTGTATATACACAAACCTGCATGTACGTTACTGGTAGAGATGCAGGTAACACGCACTGAAAAGCAACAGGAAAAATATACTCAAAACTACTAATTGGTTATCTCCAACAGAATTACTGGGAATCTTTACACATTTCTGTATTTGAAATTTTATAGCCACTATATTTTTATATTCAGAAATTTTAAATGACTATAAATGTTAATATAAAAAATACAGAGAGCTACTCGCTAAAGAGCTGATCTTAAAAACTTTTTGCCAATATATTCTGCCCTTTAAAAAAATTACTTCACCCCTGGGGTGCGCTGAGATGGCAATTGAGACTGGGCATGGTGGCGTGTACCTATAATCCCAACACTTGGGAGGCTGAAAACAGGATCACTGTAAGTCTGCTCTGGGGACAGGGAGATGGCTCAGTGGAATAAGTGCTTGTCTGGCAAATACAAGGACCTGAGTTCAATCCCTGGTTCCACCAAAAAGGAAAACAAAAAAAGTAGTATGAGTCTGATCTGTGTAGTGAGACCCTGTAGACCCTGTACTAAATACATAAAAATAAAAGTAAAAAAATTACTTCAAAAGAAAGACCAAAAAAAAAAAAAAAAACCCAAATGAATAAATTGCAAAAATAAAATAGGTCCAGTTGTTAACTACTTTACAAAAAATAAACTAATAAAACCTAGCTATAAGTAAATGGAAAAGGCACGGAATTGTTAATGTGAAAGAGCTGGGTGTAGAGTGTGTATCTGTAACCCTAGCAACCCAGAGGTCAAGGCAGGAAGCCTCACCTCACTGGAGGACCCTGTAGCTGCAGGAACCAGGATATCAGGAGAGCGAAGCCTCTTAGGGGCTTGGCCTGAAAGAGGACGATGAGCCCAGGGCCTTGTTTGGGAGGTACTGAGATGCAGCAAGGGGCATTCCATTTTGAAGACGACATTGGAACCACACAGTACAATCACGGGCGTGGAGATTCCAAGGAGTAGCCACGGAAGAAGTTCAATACACTGAGTAGTTAGAAGTCAACAGACAAGGAATGTTAAGAGAAGCTATACTGAAAACAATCTACTCAATTATGGCAAAAGCTATAAAATGCTTAGGAATTAATTTAAACTGCAATGGCAAGCTGATACGTAGCACACGCAGGATTTGGAGGCAGATTTTTGGATGCTGTGGGGCACTGATAGGATCATCACCCAACTATCAGGCCCTGATCTCTGATGGTCCAGGGCTTAGATGGGATAAGCAAGCAGGAAGTACAGAGGCAGAGTGGCTTGTCAGCTCTGGCTTGCAGCATGGTGACCAGCCATTGCTAAGAGACAGGAGCAACCAGAACTGAAAAGAGAACTGTTACCTGGGCAACTAAGAAACTGGTACACTGGCTAGGGTCGGGG